GCCGGAGTCCACGCTCCACCGCCGCTGAGGGGCGTTCGGGCGCCACGGAGCAGCCCAAATGGAAACCCCGGGAGGCTTGGGGCTAAAGCTGGAGAGGCAGGTAGAGGGGCCGCCCGGCGGTCCCAGACCATCCTAGCAAATCTGGGGCCAGGGAAGGGTTGTCACTTGGCCTATTGGGAGCGGCTTTGGGGGCAAAGGAGCTGCTTTTCGGCGAGGCCCCTCGGGAGAGAAGGTTCCTCGAATCAAGCGTAAACTGGGTGGGTGCTGCTGGCCGCCCAGGCCCCAGGCTGCTTGGGGCGGGCGATTTCTGTCTGCTGAGTTTTCCCGGGGTTAGAACGGGATTCTGAGAGCGTTCCCCAGAGAGCAGCGGCTCTCTCTGCTCTCCTGCTCGAATACAGAGGGCAAATACCGACTTCCTTTACTTAAAATAACTTTTCAATAACTTAAAAGAAATCCTTATCATGAAGCAATTCTACCGTAGCAACTTTTTATCATTTTGAAAGACTGGCAATTGGAGGTGGCTGCATATCTGGAACGAAATTTGTTTGTGTGTACACACATATGATCTACGGTAAAGTATAAATGCTAGTGGACTGTTTTCTCTAAGTTTCTGGACTTGTTGAACAAGCTTTCTTTGTTTGGACACCCCTGTGGGGGAGTGAAGGAAACTACCACAGAATCGTTTTTGTGTGTGTGTGTGTGTGTGTTTTTTTGTTTTTTTTTTCCCCTGTAGCCTAGAACTTCTTGTTAAAACTTCTCTTTCACTCATTTCATACACACATACCTGCACACATTCTCCCCGCCCCCCAACAATAACCCTCTTCCTTTCACTTCAGTACCTACAGACTTGCCGGTTATCAGAAGACACGACTCTCCCTAATACGACTTCAAAACTCTAACAATTCAAAGTAATGACGTGGAAAATTCAAGATATTAATATTTTTTCATTGGTGTGGAATCACAAATATCCTCAAATCTTTAGCAGACATGACACTTTACAAAAGACATGATAGTTTATACTGCTTAAGAATATGACTAATTACTTTTCAATTCGCATTCGTGTGTCAGCAGGGCCCCCTCTGGGATGGTGTAAACTTATTCAGCTTCAAATGCAGCCCAGTATCCTGCCCTAAGTTCCAGAGGACCATTTTCCACATGAAAAGTCTTATGGATAGACAAACTTCCATTCAAACCAATGTCAAGTTTTCATTGCAAGAAAGTAGCAGCCGTGTTTAAGGTAAGAAAGTTTCTGCTTTTATTGAAAATTTATATATGACTCAGTATTGTAATAAATAAACATAACCATTTTCACAAAAATGACAGTGCTATGCTAAAGAAGAAAATATTAAATGGGGGATTTACTTGTAGTGGCAAGACAGACTTTTTATCAATACAGAATAAATATTAACAGCATTTGTGAGCCAATGTTGAGACCCAACAAAATGTAGGAATCAAGCATGATGTAAGAAATAATTATCCAGAGAAAAAGATGGTGTATTCTCGGATGATAAGACTGTCTTTGTAAACTGGTGCATATCAATTAGTTCCATCCTCACAGCTCACCTTCAAACCACAGGGCTTATTTCTGGCTATGTTAAAGGACCATCCTCTGAGGAAAGCAGAGGAGAGGAACTCCATTATCCTTACAGTGAAACACAACCACTGCAGAAAAACTCCACTGGTAAATAGAACACAGTTTAATAAGTAGATTGGATATGATCTAACTATAAAATTTAGGTAACAGAGTAAGTGTTACAAATGGCAGGACTCGAAAAAAATCATGACATTTTTCTTATCCCCTTGTACCCCCCTCCCACTGTCATTATGCTATTACCAACAACAACAAGAATAATGTTTCAAATTTTCCTCCCATCAAAAAATGAGATAAAATAATGAGGGAAGTGTTTTTGTTCTTTTTTGAACAGTTTCTTGAACACCTCCAATACCAATCACTCACAAGGTGTCTGTGCAAATCTATTTCACAGGATTTCAAGGAAATTGTTAACTCACAAAAAATCCTTAAACAAAGCTATTCTGGAGTTCTGTATATTATTTGGAAAGGAGGGAGGGAAAGGGTGGTGGTGGTAAAGTAGAGGTAAAGTAGTACAATCCAGCCAAACAAAATGTTAAAAGTTTTAAATCAACAATGAGTCTGACTTTTTCTGGTCTGGGAACCAAGACTCTAAAATTTTGGGAGAGATTCTTTCTGATCTGATGGCTACTGAAGAACACATTTCTCCTCTTTCTTGGCCATCTTGCCTTTGTTTTGCTCCAGAGTTCGCTCCAAATGCTCATCTTCTTCTTCGGCCCTGGATGTCAGACAAACAGGACAAACAGGAAACAAAATTATTTTTCTTCGTGGAGGGCAGAGCAGCACTCCCCCGTCGCCCAGTATTTGGATCCCCAGCGGGAATGGGGAGCACCAGGCCAGCGGGAGGCTGCCCCGGCCCTTCCGCGACCTCTGGATTGAACTTTCCGCACACTTCTCAGCCCCTCGGCAGGTGGCCCAGCCTCGACCCGACCCCATTGCCCACTCACTGCTTCTCCTGCGCATCCAGGTCCCTGACGAGCGCATCGCGCTTGTTCACCAGGGCCACCAGCTCATCTAGCAGAAGCTGCTCGCGTCGCTTCTGGGCCTCGGTCTTCTGCCAGTCTGCAGAAGACGGGAGGCTAGTTACCCACGGGCAGGGCCTCCTAACACCCGGTCCCCCGCCCTCCCCTTCCCGCCGTTTCCAGTTTCCTTATATTTCTCAGCAAACCACATTATAGAGCCACTAGCTAGTGTTTTCTGGGGAGTTTGGCTGTTGTGGTGAAGGCTTCCTCGCTAAAACTCTACTTCCTAAATATGTCCTGTGAATGGAGATGGCTGCGGCAGGGTTGGAACCTGCCTAGAACCAGGTGTGAACCGGTGGCTAGCCTGAGGTGCGCACCTGAATCCAGCCAAAGTGGGGGAGGGGAGCTAGAGGCCCAGAAGAGGCTGGCCCAGGGGTTGGCAGTGGGGGAAGTGGGTAAATGAGGAGGCGGGAAACAGTGATGGGCGATAAAATCATTCTGAAAAGGCTAGAGAATCTGCCTGAGAACCTATCCTCCTCCCCCACCCCCACTCTCACCCCAAACAGCCCATTCTTCACTAATTTCCTCTTCGCTCTATTTTAGCAGTTGGATGTATCTCACACTGGGCGCCATATGCTTCACAATAACTTTAAAAGTAGTGAATCGGCTAATTAGCATTTTTCTTTGAAGTAAAAAATAAATTTGCTCTGCAATATTACACTGCAGCTCTCGATCGCATCACAGCCAGTTTTCTTTTGGAGACGTTTGCTGGGTGGTTTCAAATCAAAGCACTTTTGCAAAGGAAAAATTACATATTTCTTTTTGAAACCCTATGTTAAAGGTTGGAAAACCCGATGGGCAGTGCTCTTTCCATGGATGGGGGGCGTTTTTTTTGAAGGTTTTAGACCCCAATAATATATTTCCTAATCTTTGCTGGTCTGATGATTTCCTTAAGATGAGCAGCAGTTTCATTTAATAAAAACAGGACCAAATCGAACATTTAAAACACTTTTGAAACCAAAGCCAACTGCTCTCTGGCCAGACTGTAAGGGCTTGTAGCTGTCAATCAACCCCCAGTCTACCCCGCCTCCCTCATTAGGAAGGTAAACAATGAAAAGAAGAAGTAGATGATGAGGCAGATAGCAGAACAAATGAGGACCTAGAGGGAAACAGGACACCAGCTTTAAAAAAAAAAAAAAAAAAAAAAAAAAAAGAACCATGGCCACTGACTCCTGTAGCCCCCTCCCCCAGCAAATGCACTTTCCAAAAAACAGAGAGAAGTGCAATCCTTTCGGGTTTCTCTCTTCTCTCTCCATTGCCCTGGGCAATCATGTTAAAACTCACATGGCTGGTGCTTATTCAGATAAACCTAACAATGCACACCGCTGGTTACCATGTGAATCTTCACAAACCACACAAGAATGTGCTGGTTCAAATCCCCCCCCGACCCCCTCCAAAGCAAAATTTATTCAAGACAGCAAACTGCTCAGCAGCTTTATGAAAGCAAATGGTGCTAGAGGGAATTCTATCTTGTATTTACAAATTAAAAATTAGATGCATCATCATGCAATAAAGGTTAGAAAAGCAGCAAAAAGCTAGAATGTTTTATTCAATTTATCACTATTTCTTTCATTATAAGCTCTAACACATACATACATATTTATATGAAACATGCTATATGTTAATTATCCACATTTGATATAAAACATCACACAAAAACATTAAATAACTGATCACTATTACATTTTTATTTTAAAAATGAAATATTCTATAGCATAGAGATGAATACTGAAACTATTTGGAAAGGGTTTCTTTGAATATAATAATTTAAAAAATAATAAACAGCAAAACTGAAGAGCAGTCATATATATCACAATTTTTTTTCTTTGGATTTAAATGCAACAGGACAGGAATGCTGGAAAATTTTTTAATCTGGTTCTTGTTCTTAAATCAGTCTTATTCAGCAGGTAAATTAATAGGCTCTTCAGGTTGGAAAGATCTTAAAGGTCATCTAGTCTAATTTCAGGTAACTATAATTCTAGAAATATTATTTCAGAAAAAATCTAAATGTGTAACAGATTTGAAACTAAATTTTATATTAAGATTACTAGTTTAATGAATATTAGTTTTTTCACTTCCAACCTCAAGAAATCATTCTGATTATAAGCTTTGATTTATTTACTTCCAAAACATTTTGCGAAGAGCTTTACAATTGAAGAAATTTTCAAAAACAGAATTAAATTGAAAATTATATTTAAAAAATTAAACCAAGAAAACATAAATTTTAACAACACATATAATTTTCTTAATTATTCCTTTTATGAACTTGACCAGTTGCTTTTAAGGCTTTAATTAGTAATTAAAAATACCAAGATTTCATTAATATTGAAAAAACTAGGACTTTAACAAAATGGATAAAAGAAAGCGTTAAAGAAAATTTTAACCTTTTAAGTATTGAGTAATTTAAAATATCTTAACTTTTCCCTAGCTCAATAATGACATTTTCTATAACTGTAATGAAATCACTTAAAAATTAAGAATATTTAGGTAATTTTCATTATTTCAGAGTCAAATTTAAATGACATTAGAATTTAAAATATCCCAGCATAATTTATAGGATTTTAAAATATTAAATCTGTCATTACAGTGCTACATTAATATCTGTCTACAAAATATTAGTCAACTGTATAGGAAATAGCAATGTGCAGTGAATAGACTTTACATTAGCAAAACTATACTTTTACTTCATGTTTTTCTCATAATGGGAATAAATTATATAATATATGTACACAAACTCATGCATATGTTTATATACACATACATATATATTTGAATGCTAATTTGAGAAATTAAGTAAACTATTTTTATCTTTTTTAAAAAATGTAATATTACATTTAAAATTGATCAAAATTCACATTCTCATGTTCAAGCCTAAATTTTTTTAAAATCCTGTTTTAAATAGCTTCAGCTAGAAATGTTATGTTTTAAAAACTTGCATGTAAATTTACGTGTTACCTGTTATGCATTTTAAGAACTGATTACTCACCTATAACACCAGTGACAGCTAGCTAACTGCACTGATTTTGGCTTGGACAAACTACAATGTGGGTTCTGATTAATTTAAAGATTCCAGTGTACTTTTGCTACAAAAGCCATATCCTCTCGTAACAAATAGGATTAAGTTTTGATGCTGCATTTGAGTCAAAGTGTTGAAATAAAGAGATTCTGTTTATGTCCATCTGCACTGAGCTGTTTTGTTACTTTAAAAAACTCTTTTTTATATATAGGGCCAATTATTCACTCCCTGATTCAGTTTATTTGCTGAAGTTGATAATTACCTTGAAAAAAGGCAAGAGAAATACCTATAAACACTTTAATAGAAAGGACCTAAAGTTCTTGTAGTAAACCTTCAACCTTGCCACTATAAATAAGCCTGGCACTTTGATGAAAATTAACACTAGTTTTGTAAAGAGCACATTGGGGGATTGCAGTCAAGTCTTATCTTTAGTTCCAGTCAACTAGCAATCCTGAAAGAGTTTGCATCATCATCAGAACAGGCCATTTGATAGGATTCTACCGCTGTACCTAATCAATCTATGGAAGACTGTGGCTGTGCTGTGTAACAAAGCTAAAATAGATTTACAAATGGGGTTTTAGGGGATAAGCTCCTCCACAGGATTACATATTGATTTTAAATATAAAAAGCTTATCATATAAACCATAACTACAAAAATAGTGAACCTATGCATAAATCCCTTTAGAAGAGCACCCACTTCAAACTCTAAGCCAAGAATAAATCAAGATGTACAAAATCCTAGAGAAGATCCATTTCTTGTGCAGAAAATGAACATACCACTTTCTAAAAGCCCACCCCAATGTGTGCAGAAATGAATTTATCTTTCTTGAGGGGGCATTAAATAATCTGGAATAAAAAAACTATAGGAAAAGTATCTAAAAGATGTTTGTTAGCTTGAGGGATCCTACAACTTAGCTCAGTAGAGTGAAACTCCTGCTATGAAAAACACCTCAGGAAAAAAAGGGTAAAAAAATAGGCCAAAGTGATTATGGATTCTCAGAAGAATGGATGTATTGAATATTATTTTTTTTTGCTCTCAAACCAAGCTGTTAATATTTCTTTCAATGTGCTATGGTTATCAGTATTCTATGCTGTTCTCCTGGTGAATGGTTTCAGCAGCAGATTCATTTGAAAAGATTTTAGTTTATTTATTATAAAACCATCTTATGGCTACTAAGTAGGAGGGATGGGAAAAGAGAAATGAACTTTAAAACAAAAGAAAGCAAAACAAAACCAACTAATGTTGCTTATTCACGTGTTTTTTTCTGTGGTGTGTTAACACTCGAAAAGGCTATTGATCTGAATGTGTCTCCATTCTAAGGGTTGGCTCAGAGGACACTGTCTTCACAGAGCTGATCTTCACAGTGATCACCACCTCTCTGGCACAGTCTGGCCCATGTACTGCCCAGGCTAGTGGGACAGGCCTCTTTCTTAAGACAGTATCTTTATTTGTAATCAGCAGGCTGCTCCTTTTCTCAAGTCTCCTTTTTCCCTCAACCAGCAATGGAAACTGGCCGAGGGATTTAAGGCACAGTCATATATGGGCCAATGTATTTAAAAAACAAAAGAGAAAGATAATGCAAAACACTAACAACTGTAGTAAAACTTTTAAAAAGAAAAATATTTTTCCCCTTTTCTTTAAATATATGACTTTCTACTGCTTTTCTGTATGTGCAAGCAGGTCAGGCAGATAAAATATTAGATTATTTAACATTGTAAATCTGGTATATAGGGATAGGACTGCTGATGAAATTGAATTTTTTAATGTGTCATGGCCCTGCTTTTAAGACAGGTATTTGGTTATAATATTGGTTTTGGGGTTAGAACCAATATCTATCTTAAAGTCAACTGTATTGTATCAAGCTGTATTTTGGGGACAGTTTATCTTTTTATACGTGAAAGGGTAGATAAAAATGTAAAGAATATTCTGTGTTGAATGTAGTGTGTACAATGAATCTATAAATAATAAACTATGATGAGTTATATGTATTAGATATACTATATATAAACATTATATTACACATACAAATATATATAATATAAATAGTTTTTACTGTGCCTACTTTTCAACTGACTATTTTTCTTTTTTAAAGACTATACCATGACTACAAAAACTGTATCGAGAGAAAAAATACCATTTAGTATAGCTGTATACTTTATTTCAATGGCAAGTTTCACAGAACTTCTTAAATAATTTTGACAAATTTTATAGTCATTATCAATGGTATAATTTGATACATCTGGGTAGCCATTTGAAGGAAATGGGCTAACTGAAGCCTTTCAAAATAAAGTAAATCAGATTTCTAAATGAGGATATACAAATGTTGCCAGTGATATTTATCAAATGAGTTTATGAATATAAAACTAAAAATGAAATGTCTACAAGCATATATGATAGTATTTAGATAAATAGCATGCATTTTGATGACAATATTTATTAAAATATTTTAAGAATATAAGGCTTCACTTGGCTTTCCCTTACGTACTTAAATTTCCAGTTTCTGAACTAATTAGAATTGACTTATTATAGATCAGGTACCTTATCAGGTGAAGAACAAAATTACCATGGACAGTCAATGGGTTAAGAGGTCAATATAGAATAGGAAAATCAGTTTGCATTGATTAGACAAAAGGTCCATTTTACAGAGCCCAAAGGATTAGCTTTTAAGCAGACATCTTTGAACTATAAGACATTTTCAACTGAGAGATATAAGGAGAACAGCATTATAAAACACCTAAGAATTTTACAAAATCATATATAGTAAATGCCAGATAAGCTAGCTGATGTTTACTGATATATGAACCATGCATAGGATTACTATATAATTCATTTAAAAGCTTTATGAAAAGTGTGAAACTTTCATTTATCTCATCTTTGTCCAGATATTCACTTAACACAAGTTGGAATCTTAAGAACTGTAGAAGACTGAACAGGGATATATTTCAATGTTGACATCAATTAAATATTAAGGTAAAATTTAGAGTCTGGATGTAAAAAATCAAAATGATAAATCTTTTCCAAACCTCCCCAGTGGAAACAACTTTAAATTGCACTTAAGTAAAAGGTAATTAAATCAATCAACTCCTTATATTTTCCATTTTATGGAC